AACCCACCCCACCCCTCTCTGCCTCATAGCTCCTTCACTTGAGTGCTTGAATCTTAAAGTAAAACTGTACGGAAAAGTCGAACCAAGTGACTGACATAACTGGGTATGGAGATACGGACTGCACGCTTAGTAGACATAAGCGCATTTAAATATGCGTCCTTGCGAGCTATTGATTAGCTAGAGAGGGAGTGTAGGACAAGAATCTGAGGAATGATAAACTATAATAAATGCGAAAATAGGCGGAACAATATGCACGAGAACGCTTCATTATTTTGTCGAAGAAACTGGGCTGCGCGAGGTAATGCCGGCTTACATAAGTTAGTGTAAATTGCATTTGGTAAATTAAATATCAATTGCTGGTATGGATTGCCACATATGCAGTCTTTGTATCTAGTAGTTGAATCTTAAGTAGTTCAGCTACTGATTTCTTAAAACTTTTGTGGATTGATAATGAGAACATCTAAGGATAAGGCCGACTAGCATTACTAAAGCTGTCGTCACACATGGAGCTTTGTGCCAAGAAATGAACTAAAATTGAACCCCAAGTTTTCATTATCAATGATCAAATGATATGGTTCTTACTTTCTCGATCACTCATGAGAAGAAACAAAGTAAAGGAAGGTTGTCATTTATGTTACTAGACGGAGCTTCATTGATAGTTTTTCACTGCGAGAACACTCAAGTGATCGAAGGGACGGCTGCACTATGACCGATAACAAAGGCTTGCYCCAACTAAAGAAGCCTTAACTATAGAACATGCACTCTAGAGCGCAGGATACACGCGATACTGACCACACTAGCTAAAATTTGCTCAGTACTGTACTGTAGTCTTATTATCCTTCTTATGATGGCCGATAAAATGATGTTTTTTCTTCCTCTTTTTTGATTTAATATTTATTTAAAAGACCCTAATGGGCTGCAGGAACAACGCGTTAATTCGTTTTCTCTTTAACACTTTCGGATAAACAGATATCATATGGAAAAGAAAACAAGACGACAGAGCCGAACTGTGATACTCAATGTTGTGACACGACTATAATACCATGTACAACGACTCAACACTCTCAGCTCGTGCCAACCAAAGGTCGGGCTTCCTTGAAATAAAGCCTTGGTTTTGAGAAGCATTCATTCAATGGATCAATAGACGCCTTGGGCAAAAGCATTCACTTAAGGAGTTAAGTAAGCCATACTGCAACCAGCTGACTGATGTATAACGGATAGACTTGACGCATGCAGGGACGCATGCAAAGAAAATGAAAGCAATCTTAACCCTAAATGATGTACCAGCTTGTATACTGACTAACCTTGATGAAGGGTTGAATCATATCTTCCTTTCGGGGAAGTCTTTCATTGGCCATTGATGTTTCTTGGGACAAAACAGTCATGAGATGTTCGATATGGTCGATAGCAAGAAGGAGAATATTCAGTCGAGGAAGTTTAGTATCTGGTGGGACATTAGGGAGTGTTTTCTGCAGTTCCATGTAGGCTTTCTTGAGGTTTTGAGCTCTAATACGTTCTCGTAACGCATTAGCAGATGGATGATCATAGTTGGCGCGCTTGCGTGGCTTGATGATGAATTCTTCCGGCCCAAGTTGATTTTCGTTCGCATCATAGTTCGTGTATCTCCCCATGATGCATCCAAACTGGAGTGGTTTTCTTGGTACGACAACTTGTGTTAAACTGCCTCGGGAAAGTTGACTGACAAACTCAGTCAATAACTAGCAACTTAACCGCTCAGCTTATCCGTTACAATAGAGATCTGGGAGTGTGCAAATTTCTGATAACATATCTAAATTGGTATGAGATAGAAGGCGCATCTCAAAGGCTAGATTTTATCATCGCTTTCCTTTGCGTATGAATCCGAATCTATTCTCTTTTTCCCTTCATCAATGGGCTGTGTAAAAGGACTTAATCCYGTAGACGATCTCATCGAAAGCCATCTTCCCAGTACCGTTTTTTGGCCGATAGTTTTAGTTGAATTTTACGCGAGCGCGCGCATTCCTCTCAAATCACCACGATTAACTCACGTGTTCTGTGGTTGAATAAGAAATCCTTTAAAGCTGTCACTGTTTTATTAGCAGTTATAATGTGATTGGTGTGACGGTTTAAGATGACCGAATCCTTGTTAATTCTTTCAACGAACAAGAATCCCGTGTGTTTATGAGTTAGCTTGTGTTTGGATGACTCACGATGCATTAGTTCTGACCTCCAAAGAAGCACACATGACGGAGTGTTATGTTAAAGACATTAAGATCATTTGGAGCCTTTCTGACTGTCTTTTAACAGTTCCCTTCGGGGCTCGAGCCAAGCAGTCACATGGTTATATCTTTACAAACAAAATACAACCTTACATCCTAGTCAGTTGTTGCAGTAATATCCTATATTTGACAAAATTCCTCATATTCCCCCGTGTGAATCCACATTTAGAGGGATTAGTAATCTACGAGGTATTCTGACGCAGATTCTAAAGCTTTCGGAAGTTCTTTAAGTTACGATAATCGAGGCCATTAACCATTCGTTACACCACACCTTGAATGAATTATGAGCTGAATAGCCTTCAGGGCAAAACTCCAACATACTTTCATGTGCGTATGTGTCAGTATTTTCGATTCCAATTTTAATTTCAATTTTGATTCTCACACTCCTTTCTACATTCCTTTCTTTTATTTTTTCTTTCTTTCTTGCATTTTTTTATAAGTGCAAAATCAACTGGTTGTCCAGCTTGCAAAGCTCTTCACTTCGAGAGCCAAATAATTTACATGCCATTGAGAGAAGTATTACTCTACTAATAAAATTAAATCCTTCTCGATAACTYCACTGATAAGAACGATAGATAAAAATATCCATGAATAGTATGTGTAAATGATACGAGACTGAAAAGATTGGATTTGATGCCATGGCCATGAGAGACAGACTAGCCGAGGGCTTGATGTTATCATTGGCCTCAGTATTGGTATAATACTCTAATACATGGCTTTAGTGAGAGAGTAATGGGAAGACAAAATTTTGGACTGCCGAATGTCAGTCTTTGTAATTAGGTTGAGATAACGGTTTATTATGAGCCACTTGTATCAAGAGGGTTCGAATGCATGCTTCAAAGAAAATCTTATACGGCTTGAGATCTGATCATAATAGTTTACGTAAGAACCAACATTATATCTTCTGGGAAACAAAGTCATTGTAATTCCTTGCTTATTAATTAGTAAGCACATGAACAAACACTTACATAAGAATTTTTGGTAAACTGATAGTGGACAAATTCTTAAAATTAAGAACTTAAAGGCTTAAAATTGTTCGTATTGTACGCATCTATTCCCGTGGCTCTTCCCGTTTCATTCATATTTTTTATTTCTTTTCTTATTTCATTTGCCAAACCTTGGCCATTCACTTTTTATATAAGTCCAATCACTCCCACTGAGCTACTTTAGCACACTACTAAATCCCCACTAACTGAGAATGAATACGACGTATCTATATGGTTAAACCTGCAGTTGATTGAGCCAGCAGCGACTGAAAAAGGAAGGCAGCCCATGCAGCAGGGTGGTCGCGTTTAACCTCGGTTTAGCGAGGCTAATAGTACATTAAACTAAGTGGTTCAGAAATCAATTGTTTATTAGTCTGGCTGTTTATTTGTGACAATTAACGAGAAAAATGTGAAATTCAACAAGTTCCCCACTCGTTAAGGTCAAACGAATAGGAAAACTCTTCAATGGTTCACACTTACTTTGTGTCAAACTCTATTGAAGTACATCAGTACTTCATGTCATGAGAGCTGTGCACTCACCCTCGCGCTTTAAGTAGTAATAATAACTGAATACACATTGAACATTTTAAAATTTTTGACAAGGTCTCCACCAGAAGTTCTGAACTTCTGTCTCCACTCATTCAAGAAAAGCCAGGTTTGAATTTATATACTTTTGTTCATGAAACAACGCCAGGCTGATCAGTCTTAACATGACTAACATGTTAAGTGATTGGATTGTAAGTTGTCATTACTTGTAAGATGGTCTATATTCCTGCATCTTATCTCACTCCGATCCCTGAACATTAATAAGGATTCCACATCTGGTCGTTTTTATGGAATCGTGACTCCCTATACCCGTTGCCAATGTTGTATTGCTGCGTGTGGTATATCACAATCATGGCCGGGGATTTATGACTATTTATTCCTAACCAACATACCGACCAAAGGGATAATAGTCCTCCATTATGGCCTCATGTGGACTCAGCGTTCTTTCCTTTGTGTTTTTTTTATAAAAATTATCCCGAAGAAAGCCTTAAGGCTATTCTATGTTCAGATCGAATCCACACAGGCTAAATAATCAATAAATGCGAATTTTTTGGTATAAGGTAAAGTGCATGAGGTGCCGGCGGTGCCTCGAGCAACTTCATCTCGAGCTCATTGATAGCCCGTATCAGCTTCAGCCAATTTCCGATATCTCCCCATAGAATCAAACCAGGTCAAAAAGCGATTTTCTCAAGGACTTTGGGTTTGATTTTTTTGTTTTTAATTTGCAACTGATCTGATAAGCCTTTTATAACCCTTTGCAGAATCGTGACCAATTATAAGGCGAAATCTTTGCTCTACTACGTGACTGCATGGCCATGTCCCTAGTGCGAGCCCTAAAGTGTCTTTGTATGTAACTATTACAATGCTGTTTATTCCTCGTTTAGCAGTATTCCCTGAGCTATCAAAATACTGACTTTGTTTTAAGTAATAATATATCTTTTAAAGCAGTTTTTGTGGACAGCTATGAATCGAGGCGGATCTGGACATTATCTCAAAGTCCGTGCAACAGATAGGCCAAGCCGATGGTATGGGTATCACAGTCCATCTATTCTATGCGTTAATTTTAGCCGCTTCAATCAGCAAATATGTTCGAATGGTTTGCTTTTGACTGTACCTAGCACTTCTGGCTGCATTACGTAGAAGTTGGTACCGACTAATGGCAAAACTATCACGACGTAAATCGGGCTGATTTATCTGCTTTGAAAACATCATTGCAAAAGTTTTATCCCACAAATGTAAAATCTAAATTTCATGTTGCTGACAGAAAGTCTGTATGTGCAATAAGCCGGCCTGTGTTGTCTTGGAGCATGGGGTTCCTGTGGATTCTCTTATTAACCGTCAAGACCGGTTTTTCATTGAGAAATTCGTCTGGGGTGTCATTATTATCATTAGTGAGCAACTCTATTTTAATAATAATGAGAATTTTATTTAAAAAAGAAAACATGAACGATGCAAACTAACTGCATTTTTTCAATTTTTTTCAGGTGCAAAAGTGAATATAAAGTGAAAATGACAGCCATTCATATTGTATAGAGCCATTTGATTGACAGAAAAAGCCATTTTACTGATCTCGAAGCACGCGGATCGAATCTCCAGACACATGGCTGAAGATTGACCTCAATTTATGATTAAAAAGACTGCCGATTATTTGGAAAAACCCTGGAAATATAACAGCGAGGACTTCTTTCTGTCGTCTGTAAGTATAATTCCCATGAGACAGACATTCTTTATTAGTCTTCGTGCACAACCACCCCGTAGATAAAAGTTAAGCGAAAAAGTTTATTATATAATTTTGAAGCTTACCAAATCTTTCCCTATTTATTGCATATTTTTGCAGATTAAAATAATGGAAGATGAATCTCCACTCTCAGGAGACAGTGATTATGGATTACTTTGCACAGAAAATCGAGAATTCCTTTACGACGGAGATGGATTGAATATAAATGCAACGGTCAATCCAAATCTTCTGCAAGACTTAGTGGAAGAAGAATCCAACATGGCGACTTCTTTCGATGACAGTAGTCCACCCACAGAAACCAGCTCCATATCTACTGTAAGTTCAAATTCTCGAGCAACTCCAGACGGTGAAACACCAAAGAAGATGCGTAAAAGAAACGTTGCTAGGGATAAATTGAGAAGTGAAGCTGAACAGAATGCTTACAAGAAACTTCGAGAGCTCGTGCCAACTCTTCCTGCCCTTAAGAAGCCTACGAAACTAGAAACAATAAAACACACTTGTAGATATATCGAACTCTTACAGGAAACACTGAAAAAAGTTGAGAAACAGAGAGAAGCTAAGGCAAAGAATGAAGATGTTAAGGTTAGTGAGGGCGAAGGAAACCCTCTTGATAAACAAAAATAAAAGTAAGTAATTGGTTTTGCCGCGAAACTCGACCACGGAATTACGAATAGGTTAAAATTGCTTCTACAAAAAGAGTACCAAGCTTGTGATAATTAAAGGAAAATAAAATCAGTGGGATGAGTTTAAAATAATACTTGCACAACAGACGAATATAAAAGTCTCAACTATCAGTACTTTGCAAGTATTTTGTAGCTAAAGGGATAGCTTAACATAGTTTCAGCTATATTAATTCATAGTAACGTAAAACGTAGACAATTCTTAATAAAAGAATAACGCTAAACTTTATCAAAAATGGCTTTCTTTCCCCATGATCACTGATTCTAACTATCAAACGGCGGCAATCCATTCATTTTTCCTTCAGAATAATCCTCAGCGAATATGAGTGGATATTGTGACGCAATACCAGGAATTCGAGGAAAAGGGTGGGTTACTGTTACTAACGATATACTACGAAATTTGAGCAAAAGGGGGGCGACTAGTAGTCACCCCTTTTACCACCCATGGATCCGCCCCTGTTGAATTGCTGTGGGTGTCGATGTGGAATAAATCTGAGTTATTTTGGTTGTTGTTGCAAATGATTTGATCGATTCACCATTTTCCATACATCGGTTCACTGGTCAAACACAAAGCATTTAGTCGAGGTTGCAAGGTTCAAATTTGAATAACCTTTAAAAGTACCTTGGCGCCTCGCTAAAAAATAAATAAAGTGTGATATACAACTAGCTCAGGTGTGATATACTCCTAGTTCAGGTGTGATATACTCCTAGTTCAGGTGTGATATTCTCCTAGTTCAGGTGTGATATACTCCTAGTTCAGGTATAAGGGATACTCCTAGTTTAGGTAAGGGATACTCCAGGTTACTTACCCTGGTCCCAGAGGCTCGACGATTTTTCTCCACATATGTTACTGCAAGTTAGGCGAGTTGCTACACTGAATATAAAACGGGTTGCTTATTTGACGATTATGTTGCTGTATGTCAAACGATAACCTTGCCGTTTGGGACCAGGTGGTGGGACCGAGTTATAGAGAAGCTCGACATGTTTGTCTTTCCTCTGCACAGGATACGAACGATTCTCTTCGTGTTACTTTGAAACATTGTTCATCATTACACCGACTCAGGGGGGTAACCAAGGGGGCCCGCTCCAATCCTCACGCTGAAAAAACCTAAACATTATGTAGTCACGTGATAAGTTCGACTAGGCTTAGCCTCAATCCCCCGGAATTCTGGCATCCACCCCCTTAGATCTGCCCCTGCAGAATGCAACCAAAAAGTATCATACAACAAAAATGTTCTCGTTTATTTTGCCATTATAAGATTACATTAGCAGACTTCCATTCAGTAGTTTGAAATAAAACCAATTTAGCTTTATTCAGTAAACGTTTCGTAAGTCCCTAACAAATTGATTTCACTCAGGAATTCATTCGATTCTTATCATTAGTATATAGCAATTGTGGTTACTAAATTTCTTCGGATTTTATTAAAAACTTTTTAAATCTTAATACTTGATAAAGCAATAAAATACCTTTTATACAGGGAAAAAACAGCCATAAATACAAAAAAAAAAGAAGAAAATAGAATTAACACAAGTAATTATTGTTCTTTTAACGTAAATTTTTGTTTGAAAATCCATATTTTTCTTGCAATAACTGTTTGTTCTCTTTTGAGAGTCAAGGACAAATTCATAAGTTATAAAACTTTAAAGTGTGCAACTCTGACTTTTAGACTACAGAAATGTTTGACTCTTTTATCTTGTTCAGCAATCCAAAAAGTTAGCTGCCATAAGCAGTTCAAGGGCTATTTCTGGTGCAATAGGGAACTCTGGGATCTCTGTGCTACTGTTGGTGTAACGAACTTTGTACATGAAATACATGCAGACTTTTGCCAGGACATGGGACCTGCAATGAAGGCAAAATATTTGTATAATCTACATAAATATTTCATTCCTTCATACAGGGAGCATGGGACAAAGGGTTTATAGGCCACTTTAGAAATGACTGTGGCGAGTTTTGAATTTTAATCTAATTAGAAAAAGAAATGATCTAACCACTGTGGTTGATCCATGGCAAAGCCAAAAAAGCTTTACAACTCAAATGACAAGTTCTCAAAACATTTTAAGAGGGAAAGAAACCCAAAGAAAACGACCGCTAAAGAATTTATAACCATTAACTCTACTCAAACATGGCTTTAAATTCTGGCATTATGAGAAGGTTGGTTATAACATAATATAAGTTGATGGGTAAATAAATAAAGAAAAATGGACAATTACTTTTTGGAAGTCTATGACATATCAGACATCTCCTTTAGAGGACAGTTACTGAATGAAGGGATGAAGGTAAATGTCAAAGTTCAAGCTAATATTTTACTTTGATGACATGGGGAGTGGTTGCCCAATTCTCCTGAGTGAGGGGCTCATGTATAAAGCACTTGAAGATGTGCCCTTAGACTATCAGTGCTCCTTATTATGGGTATTTGAAGGCGTATGAATCAATGACATTTTCACACTCATCAAAAACAAGATACTTACGGGATCTCTCTGAAATGGACCTCATTTGTTTCATTCTCAGAGAATTGTCCTGTGCAAGGAATATGAGTAAAAAAACCAATTAAGAATGGACCTTAAGTCATCAGTTTACAGAATCTGACAACATATACGTGTTATTTACCAGCCAGGAGGTCCAGATAGGAAAAAAACATGCCTGAGGTCTTGAATATAAGGACTGAGTCGATTAGGGCACAGTTTTTTTCTGTCCTGTTTTTTCCATTTACTTTTCCATATATTTTGCAATTAGTTTTGTTATTTAACAATCATTTTCCCATGTGCGTGCTTGGATGATGTAAGCCTTATATGTCAGAATACTGGACTGTGGGAGAGATTAAAAGTGCATCCACTTGCACAGCCAATCAGAACACAAGATGTTTAGGATACCAGACAGGGGAAACAAAATTTCTGTTACTGTATAAAGATATGACCCAACAACAATTTCCCCATTTCTTTCACTTTGCCATTAATAAGATGTTTAAACATCTAAGATTTTGTTCTTCCAGGAGTGTATTCAATATTACAGCAGGAACTTGTGGATGACTTGATTCACCGTAAAAAGCTTTGTGAAACTGACGTTTCAGACGCTAGTCCTTCCTCGAAGGACTAACGTACGAAACATCAGTTTCACAAAGCTTTTTACGGTGATTCAAGTCATCCACAAGTTCCTGCGCTTTTATTCAGAAACACTGACACAGTCCACGCTAGTACTCTATTAGTTATCACCACTCGTTTGTATACAATATTGCAGAGTTGTGAGAAACTTTGGAACAGTCAGTTTTGATTTTGGGGGCTAAAGAGATAATGTTTTGCAGTTTCATTTGTGGGGGAGGGAGGAGGAGGAGTGTTAAAGGCAAAAAAGGCAACAATTATGTTAGTAAGGTACTGTTGGAACCAATTTTACGCAATATGGAAAAATAATTCCCTTGAATTCCAATTAGTGAATAAAAGCACTTAATCACTTAAGCATTTCCAGGTTGAATATCTTGTTAAGATCATGGAAGATCTTGCCAGATCGTCAACACAGCTAACATTTGGAAAGTGGTCCATATAAGGCAAGCCCTGCATAATTCGTTAGTGCCTCAAAAACCAAAACACAAATGAATAATTGGTTCTCCAAAAGCAAAGTGTTTCAGTTAAAACTGATAATTTAATGGTTTGCATACCTGGCCCGCTTAGCATAGCTTTGATGGTTCCTGATGTCAAAGCATAATCTCTGTTAATGATGAATTCATGGTCATCACTGGAGATCAGTTTGACATACATTGCATTTGGGCCTTCACATCCCCCATACACAGGTTCTGATTGGCCATCATCTATTTTTTTATCGTCCATATCTGTCATTCTCCTGCAACATCAGATGATAAGAAGAATCAAGTTAACAAATTTACAGTGCAAACACTTGAACCATGAACATTTCAAGGTTTTTTTTTATAATTTTCATAACTATCCAATCACAGCTCTCTGTAGAAACAAAGTAATCAAAAATTTTTAGGTGCCATCCAATCACAACATGGTGGAAAAATCTTTAGATGTCTTATTTTTAGCTCACTCTGTGTGAACTAAGTAACTGCAAGAGTGACACACAAAGTGCAAATTTTCAATAATTTACAGAAATAAAACAAAAAATATAGTTCATTGACAAAGTAGCTGTTATGAAATAATTGATACACTTCATAAATTTTAAAAACTTTAACAACCAGAACCAAAGAGACTCTGAAATTGCACGAAAAAATGCTGGAACCTCTGTAAGAATCTGGCTTCTGATTGGATTATGTGAGAAATGTTAAAAAAACCTTGAAGTGTTCATGGTTTGAGTGTCCACACAGTAATCTCTCTTAACAAATTTAACTAGCTGTTTTAATATATTGCAAGTGCAGTGAGCTGCGAGTTGTGTGGGATACTATGGGATATGAACATATCTGATAGTTGTCTCTACAGTACATTATTTGTTATGGTGCAGCTGACCACATCATTACTGATACAGCAGTATAGTTGTTTGGAATTGAATAAAAAAACAGCAATTATAATAGAAAAAGATATTTCTGTATTTATTAAAACCAAGACTATTAGAAGAGAAGAGTCAAGCCAGCTTGAATAAGCTAAAAAGCTAAGAAACTTGGTCATACAAGTCAATATGTGGTGGTAGCTGGTAGTTATATAATCACTAATTTAGGTCAGGTACATTGTCAGCCTGTTTCAGGGATGGACCTGGATCAAAGAACGTTCAGATTAACTCATGAAAGGACAAAAAAATGAAAGAACATTTTTGCCATTGTCTTCCCCATAAAATGTAACTGTATCAATAATTGTAACCTTGATGAATGCTTCCAGCAATATATATTAGCTTGAGTTTGGCATGACAATTATGAATTATTTCCTTTTTTAACCCATATTTTGAAATTAATGGACATTTTCTAAGAAAAAATTCTCATTTATGGGTGAACTAGAAGTTGGATAATACGAGATCGATCTGAAGGTCAGAATGCATGTTTTTACAGAAATCATTTTATTATTCTTAATAAAATCAATCAGTTTAATATTCTTAATAAGAAAATGGAAATTTGAATAAATTTCATGTTGAACCTCATGTTTATTTATAGTAGTTTTCAGAGACAAAACAAACAGCTTGCCAAAATAACTTAAAACTTGAATCCATGGATCAGCCAGCATAGCTCTGAAATGAAGTGTTTATCATTATTTTTACACATGATTTGGCTAGTTCATCCCTCATATTACTTATCTTAGATTATCGATTATACTGCTTTAAGGTGACTGCCTACTTTTGGAAATTGATTTAAGCTTTTTTTAAAACTTCGATTTTCCGAATTGAAATTTAATGCTGATTCCAAATCTGGAAAGAAAAATAGGGTGTCCCGAATTCGTTCTCGAGATAATCAGCATTTAATGGAAGCCTACGCACGAGCTTTTGGAGTAAAAATTGTGCCACCGGAAGTGATTAGAAAAAAATTAAGATTAATAAGATAATATTTATTTGCAGAATATATGATTGCACGAATGAAGGCTAGTCAATCCTTTTACAATAATACATGGTTATTTTCGACAAAAAGACAAAGAGAGACATTGATTTGTCATATTTTGTAGTTTCAGTGCTCTTAAAAAATCTCATAAAGTCGAACAAAAATACCTACGAAAATCTATTTTTTCACGTGTTCCTGATTTAAACTTTTCCTAAAATGTTGATATAACCTAGATTTTTAGGAGTTTTTTCAAATGAGCTATCAAAAAATTTAGAGTCCCGTGCAAAATTTGAGGGTTTTGCCCTGTTGAAGCTCAAAACGCGTATGGTTCTTCAATAAAATCTTGTAGATTTTTCAGTGGTTTTTGAGCGCGCGCACATCGTGGGCTCAAATCGAACGTTCAAAAGTAGGCAGCCACCTTAAACAGCTGAATCAAATCATGACTAGTTAAATCAAAATAATCTATTGGCTGTGGTATTTTAAAATACTTAGAAATAATTTATTGCTTACGGAAATCCTTGTTTACAAGTAGTAAATTTCTATTATTAGCTTGGCTGTCTTACAGCAGTCAACATCTACAATTTAAAATTAAAAGTTTTGTCACATAATCAGCTAGCTCCACCCTCTCAATCACAAGGCAACAGAGTGACATTGATTGACAGCTTGCCCTGCTAATTCATAGGACTGTAGATGGAAACCCTAATGAAGAAGCCCACAAAAGTCTCTTGGATAAGGCCCTACAGACCCCTGGGTACTATTGTGCAATTTTTCCAATTTGTCGCAGGGGAAAGAAAAAAAAACAAAGGTATCTTATGACTAGGCTACCACAGGTATCCCAGAAAAAATATTTTACTGTTACTTCCACTTTGGTGATTTTACTTCCTCTCCTATTAACCAGTGAATATTGACTCATAATCACTGGTCGTTTGACCAATCACAACACCCAAAACTCTCTATTCAAGTCTGAAATTATACTAACACTGTTTACTTTCAAGTTTACTTTCTTTCATTGTGGGCATCCTTGGTTTCAAACAATACCTTTTGATGTCTCTATCTGTGTATGAACATAGATGTCCAATGTACACAGTATAACACATTTGAACAGAACTACAAATATTTTACCACTATTTTTATCGAAAACTTATAATATTTAGGCTAACAAATACAGAACAAAGAAATAGTACTTGGTATCCAATTGCACTTTAAACAAAAGAGAGGAAGTGAAAGCATGACACTTTTATCCTACAAACGCGGTTTTAAAAAAGTTTGAAGAGAATCTTAGACTAGTTTTAAGATCAATCATTGAAAACAAACTGTAAACGGTGTCGAATTAACATTCTTTTAGCTCATAAAAATAAATCTTAAAAGGAGTGGAAGAGGAGCTAATATATAACGAGGAAATTATAGCGTACAGGATGCCTAAAATATCAGACACGAAAAACTCAATGCACACAAATATGATGATGATCAAGCGACAGAAATCAAGTTTCTATAGTTCTCCCTCTTCTAGGATTACTTAACAAATGTAGGTAATATGCTCTTCTGTGAGAATGTGGTAGACTTGTTTTGAAGCTTACAAATAATTTAGGAAATTGAGAATTTTGAAGTATCAACAATGTTGAAGAAACGGCTATATTTGAGTCATGTTACTAGAATATGAAGATCTGTCGTAAAGATCTAAGGCCTTTAAAAGATGACGATCGCTTTAGGCACTTCTTTTTCATAGATTAGTGAAATCTCCCAAGGAAAACTGTTACCATGCACAATGATTTGCTATTCTGCATACATCTATTAGATTTACTGTAAATTAGCAGCTCTTCATCAACAAAACAGGTTCGGCACGACATTGAATAATCGAGCAAACAACCAACCCAGAAGCAAGATCATAGTATTACAGGATGCTTAAAGTATGGTATGAATCAATCTTACCTGGAGAGAAGTCCAAATCAAGTCCTGACTAAGGATTTTAGACAGGAGTATGACAGATCTTCCTTGAATTCAAATGTAATGGTTGCTTTTACACATGACTTGATTTATCGCTAGATACCAGGTCGTTGTTGCTTCAACTTACCACAGGAAACCCAAACACTTCGGAAGGTCGACGCAGGCTTGATTGCAGGCTTTAATCAAGGGCGTAGGCAGGGGGGTTGGGGGCGAGGGGGCCACGGCCCCCCTTTCGCGGCAATAAAATGGCGGCATTTATAGAATAAAATCTAAAATCTAAAATCTACAAAGCTTTCGCTGTTGTGTCACAGCGTGGGACAATCACAACAAAGCTAGGCTCCAAACTAAGTGAACAGAGATCGAATTAGAATTTAGAAGTTGATTTTTGAGGAGGGAGGAAAACCGGAGAATCCGGAGAAAAACCCTCGAAGCACAGGAGAGAACAAACAAACAACTCTACTCACATGCGACCTTATGTCAAATGAGGAGGAAGAATATGTCCTTTATGTGAACAAGAAGTTTAAGATGAAAAACACTTTCTTTTGAAATGTCCCTCCTACTTAAACAAACGTAAAGAACTACCACAAAAATTAACACAATAACAAACAAACAATTTGAACTCTTAAATGAAAACGATAAATTCCATTTTTTTATCAACCGAATAAAAAAAATCCAAAACATTGTAGCAAAATACATGTACGAATATCAAGTAGCTAGAAGAGGAATGTCGCCACAGACAAAATAGCTAGAAAGCTTGAATTACGACAAACTATCTAAAATACATCCATGTATTTTGCTACACTTGAGAAATTGAAATAATATATTTCAGTATACAGTTTTGCTGTTGACGGCTTTTGTTGTGCGAAATTCTTGGCCTTGGCCTAGTTGCCGGGGGTGGGGGGTGGGGACACTCAGGCCTCGAAGACACTGTCAAATGCAACCGATTATTGTCTACCCAAATGCTTCAGTGCCCAGTCTTCAAGGAGCAGAAAAGCACCCAGTTTCGATCGAGGTTAAACGTTCTATCATATGCATGATGAAGCACCCATGAGTGAAATTTATGTATAAACCACACGCTCGTGGCTATATTTGCGCAGATATGGCTGACTGATGCTGACTCGTCCCAAGTCGACTACGTCTTTCTGACATACCGCCGGTGCGCAAAGGCCCTTTGCGCGCTTCGATGAAAATAAGTGAGAGACGATTGGGGAAGAGTCAATGACTGAAGGTCGAGAACCCCGCGGGACTTTGCCTTTTATTTACAGGAATTTTGCCCAAAGTTGTCACAATCTTTCGTGTTGTTTGCAGCTGTACGTGAACGTACAGAGCCTTGCACATGATGGAATGTTGAGAAGAGGTTAAGTGTGTGAAAAGCGAATTTCCTGACATTTAGAAGGGTTGATGAGAGTTGAGTCCGGTTCGATGTAAAGGTTATTCCTCTTTACGGCGTTGTCAAAATAAACTCAGTGACCTTGAGAGCTGTAGCTGAACAACCTGAAACAACATGCAGCTTTCATCTTCACCAACCTCTCACGGTAACATCAAGTCGGGATTAGTTTTTTCTTCGCAATTCTTCCAATTCGACTACATTTTTCAAGGTCATTCTCTCATTTCACCTTTCAGATTTTCCACATAAGGATCCTATGTTCCTAGTATAGTCCCTGCCTGTGACGTCAAACGCTAATTACTCTCGCGATAGATATTGATCGAGCATTACCAAGGTGCATGCGTAAGGGCATAGCTCTGTACGTCATTCTTAGCAGGTTGACTAACACTAATTGACTGCAAGTGGGGGGCCGATCAATATAGTCTCTTTCTTTTTCTTGTCCGTAGTAAACGAGGCATCCCCCAAAAAACTATAACTAAGTTCAGGATGAATTTGATCTCAGCACTATCCGCAGATGGAATCCAGAATTTGTCATGATATAAAACWGGCGAAAATTCAAACTAATCCTCCCATGGTGATCTTACAAATACTGATTATGTTTTCCGGCGGATACTGAGGGATTAAAAAAGTTTATGAGTTTTGCATTTCCAGTATATTCTCTTTAACTAGACTTGACTTAAATTACACGCTACTTTCTTGTTTACGCGACACCGGATAAGAACAACGAACTGAACTCACTGAACTGATATCGATGTCAATCCCTCAGGCCAATAGGCGTGAACCGCTCCCCTGGTGTGAATGATAGATAGTTGCACCGGCTATGATTATAGCTTGGTTTCACAGATTTAACATCTCCTACGATTAGATAGCTTTGATCGGACGAAGATCAGATCTCAGCCTTGGCAGTTCATTTACCTAGGGTAAGAGTTTTATTGATTTGTTTTACAATATACTATAAGAAGCTTGTTATCTCGATAATGTTATCGTTTATACTTTTATAGGCAATTAATACACTCAGACTGTTATGACGTGCTGCTATCTTGAATTCATATTTTGTGCTTAGTTGTGTCCTCTTTATGCTTTGGTTGAAAAGTTTTCAGAAAATCATCATGTGTTCTTGATCGAAGAACTTCTTATGTATGAATTAAGTTGACTGATGGAATATTATCTACTAATATAATGCGTCCTGTACAAGCAGCAATTAGCCCAGAGTACTGACCGGTTCAGTTTCTTTTTTTGAAATGTTTAAATACTGAGAAATTCTAATCGCAGAAAATTTAGAAAAGAAATAATAAAAACGGATTGACAACCATTTGCATGGGCAGGTGGATTCTTGTTCTCCGCGCTACTCAGCTGTCTTTATGTTGGTTCAGTGATCGAGTTACGTAACTGAGCGAGACCTTAATTACGTAATGTAATGAGTGTTTACACCGACAGATTTTTTCCCTTTTCTGAGCTCGGAACGGAAAGGAATTACGAGTAACAATGTCCTGAATCAGTATATTAAGATTGAGAACAGCAAGAGATAGTAGTCAACATACTGTGATAATCATTTCAAAGTGCCTTCTTGAACGTAAAGGAAATCCGGCCCACGTTATAATCAAAATATGATTTAATTGAATATATATATATATATATTCATGCGGAAAACTTTATGATATTGTTTTACAAATCTGTAAAGAGAGAGAAAAAATAAATAGTTAAACTACTACTTTTTGATCTAAATTCTTCATGCATTTCAGTCCGTTTGAACCAAGACAAGGTTCACATGGGTGACGTATGATAGCCGCATCTATGTTCAGTGTCACTGTACATTGAGCGGTTCTGGGATAATGTATAGGATAAACGGGACCTAAAAATTATTAGTGGTACAAAAAAGAATTATAAGAATTACGTATAAGTATTTATTGCTACCATTAAACTGCATGATATAGCTTTTATTTATAGTTGACTCTCCTATTATCTTAAGGTCAAGGTAACTTTTAGGAACAAAACCAGTTTAATGCCTGTTTTTAATTCTTATTTTTACGAAATCTTAAACCAAGGCAAAGTAGCTTAAACGAATTTTAAGCCTGTGCATACTGATGTATAACGGGACTTTTGATCATAGCAGCTTGATCGACTGATAATTAGATTCGCCCACAGTTAAATTCGGTTGATGTGACCATAGCTATGATGTAACGCGTTAAAAGTGCTATAGTCACCGAAGTGAATCAAATTTGTTTGAAGTTTTTGTTGTTTTTCACCCATGTAGGCCGAATTTCCCGTGGGGTACTCTTGCCCGTTTAGGGTAGGGATGTGCCGCTGGGCCCTCTGAACCCTGACCCTGTTCCAGAGAAAAATCGCTGAAAACCATACCCTGTTCTAGCGTAGGAGAGAGCGTGATTTCATTATAGCCTGTCCCAAAGCGCGATTTTGTATACTCTGTTCCAGAGTAGAATCGCTGACAACCATACCCTGTTTGGCGGCACGTACTCGTATAGCGAATATAGGGGAGAACCCCACCCCCCCCCCCCCCCCCCCNNCCCCCCCGCGGGCCCGGGGCCGGATTTTCGTGCTGCGTTCACATGTTTTTCGCACTGCGTGCGTATGTAACCCCAGATATATCACCATGATAGCGCCTGAAGCGTATGTAACACCATGATAGCGCCTGAAGTGTTGAATTGCGTTCATATATGAGTCCTGTTGTAGAGAATTATAGAAAAAGGCGATAATATTAGTAGCGAGTTTAAATGCTGAGCGGATGCTACGCCGGTGCCTTTCGATTCCCCATGGATCTAGCCGGCCCTCCCCCAAAGCAAGTTAAAACAGCTGCTAGGACCTAGCCTGCGTTCAGCCGGTTTAATTTCCCTCGAAATATTCGCAGGYTAGGACCGACTAAACACAGAACTGTCAAATCTTTTAAAATGTCCGTAAAATGTACGGCCAATTTTAGGTGACCCAACTATTTAAAACGTATATGTGATTTAAGGACCTTTGCTGACGTACAAGAGGTCGCAGGAAAATCATAATAAATTCCATCCGATTCCTGCTATCTTTCTATCCGGTAGTAACTAATACTTTAAGTTTGCAATGTCAAGTTCAGGTTATCGAGATGCTGAATATCATATTCTGCTGACGTTAGGTGGACACACGCAGACAGGAGAGGTATTAATAATGATTTGTGTTGCTCGAGTTTACAGAAACGACTTTTTTGTACACTGAGCCGTTTGGCTTCTCGTGAATGACCATTCTATAGATCCAATAGAACTGGATTTTCTAAATTGGGGTCGATAGACTAGATGTCTAACTAAATGGTTATAAACCAGATATACTGAGGTAAGAACTGTTGACCTGCCCCAGCATCGTTTTGTATTTTACAAACTGTGGCCACAGCTACGCCGGCATCAATTACGATTGAGCGACTACTGCGATGACTACTGCGATTTTTAGATATTTATTATGTTTGATAGCCGACGAAGTTCTCTCTCCATACGGCATCATGACTGTTTAGCAGTTTGCACAACTGTTTTCCTCACTCAGATCCGATCCCTCCCCCTCCGCCCACACCTTGTCCCATCTTTTACATTTTGCTTTGTTACAGTTTCCCTAGATCGAGCTAGATGATTTGACCTAAATAAATCGCGCTTTTAAATGCTACAAATTCTCTCCCATTTCCTCCAGTTACATGATTGTCGGCCGATATTCCTCATGAACCAGACAGCATATATATTATTTCTATAGTTTCTTGAAGCCAAGCCGGTCGCGATAGCGTAATGCTATCCTGTCGTGCAGGGAGGGTCGTTCAAATGTTTTGTGGGTCTTTTGTTCACCTGAGTAGCATAACATACCACCACTTCTTGCAGTATACGATCGTCTCATAACTGAGAATGCAAAGAGGTTGTGTCAAGAAAACTAATTTTTTAGCAGTTAGTTGACTAAGTAGAAAGGAAGTTCATAAAAAAATCAGTTCCGGGCTGGGGGAAGTAGCTAGTAACATCTTAATTCAGTAAAAGAACCAATTAACTTCGGGTGTTTATAAATTTCGTAGTACCCCGATTAGCCCGACCTACCAAATGGTGCCTCGGCTCAATGGCTCAAGCCTATCAGATGAAAATTCGACAGAGTTCGATAATCACAGTAGTAGTACGACCATCTTTACACGATGCACTTTTAGGATCATAAACTGTCAAATCAACGATCGGCTTCACGCAGAAAATGCGCAGAAACTCTTATTTTATTTTATTTTATTTATTTTATTTTATTTTATTTTATTTTATTTAGAGTGCACGCACCAAACCCGTGCACA